GAGGGTAAGAACCCTGTAATAATTAAACCCACAGAACTCTTAGTTACTCACTGTTTTACTTTCAATTCAATAGCTTCAAGTTCATGTCGAATGAAAAGCAATTGAAATGGTTTAGCATAAACCAAAAAATATCATAAATGTCAAGTTTTGTGTGAGTAGAGACTGAAAATCGAAGAATATATTTGATGCAATAAGRGTGAAATTCAAAGGGTTTAGGTGAGAAWGAYSACATATAACTTATTCCTAAATATGTTCTATCTTGTGAATTTTGTTATTATGTTGTAAAACGAGTGAGATTAAGAACCCAATTACTATATTGTTGTATCGTAATTGCAAACCCTAGAACAAACTAAATTTGTGCCCATTTGATCAATTCTTCTAGCCGCTTTGTCTCCAACTCACTCCAATGTCTCCAAAGTACCTAAAAAGGAACAAAAAATGCACAAAATGCAAAGAAATGTATCCTAGACTCTAAAATGATCCGAAGTATGAAATGAGACTCAAAATGATGAAAAAAATATGCAAAAATGTAAGTCTAATGACTACAAAAGCTAAAGAAAATATATGCTAATATGCTAAAATATGAATGCATCAATTTGTAAAAGAGCAAATCAAACAAAATCATACTCACATTAAATCACAGACTACTCAACTTACCCAATGAAGAATACATTTGAAGGAGATGGCGGAGGAGGAAATAAACGAAGAGAGATAACGGGGGAAGAGGAGGAAAGGGGATGAGGAAGAAAGGGGGCGGAGATCTAAAGTGAGAGATGGCCAAATTGTGGAGGTCGATTGGCGAAGGATGATGAAGAAAATCAGATTTGGAGACACGGTGGAGCAGAGCTTGGTGGAAAAGCAGGCGGAGGAGAAGAGAAGGAGAGAACACGGAACTCTTCGAAGATATCGACGGCTTTTAAACTAAAAGGCGTTTTATTATTTTTTGTTTTATTTTTTATGTACTTGATTTTACTAATATAATTAATCAAACCAACAAAAATTTATAAAAACTAAATATGAAGGTTAAAACTGGATTATCATTAAAATAAATACTAATGGAACAAAATTGAGTTGAAAAAATACTAATGAGACATTTTCTATTTGATTTCGACCTAATTGGCCGTTCTCAAGAAAAAGCATAAAGAGATTAGAATTGTTCCTGACTGTGATTGACTTTGTGTTGGTGAAGCTTTGCACCAATAGAGATTTGCTACACTCACATCTACAAAACAAAACAAAAAACAGAGTATCAACTTTCTAATCTAATCACGAATCAAAAAAGAGCCAAAGAAAACAAGATTTCAAAATAAGAACTTACCGAAATTCAGAGGAGCTTCCAATTTGTCGGACTGCGATTTTCCCGGAGACTTCCACGATCTCTGTATCCACCAATCAAAAAGCAAAATTCCGAACATGAACATTCTAATGACCGACATAGCTAAACCACATCTGATTATTGAACCACGAGTCCAAGATTCGACATTTTAAGTAACCTACCCGATTTAAGTTTACATGACTTGGCTTGAAGAACCTTCTACAGACATCGATCTCTCAATATAAAGCTTCTACCTGTGTGGGATTATCACTTCCAACATAATCTGTAATTGACAATCGAATTACTCGTCAAAGAATATCTTTTTGATGAAAGAAGAGCAAAAAATCACATAAACAAAGAAATTTTAGAAAGATTAAATCTTTAAACAAACCTTACTTGAACAATGAATCTTTTGTTGGGTTTATGAACACAGAGAGGAAAAGATCAGAACAGAGAGAGACATACATGAAGCGAAAATCTCAATCTCAATCTCAATTTTAGTTTTTTGTCTTTCTTTCTTGGCTTAAGAACTGGAAGCACAGAAACAGATTGATGTATAAATAGAACCGTTGAGAACAAATCTAATTCAAAGTTATTACCGTTTTAATTAACGGCTACTTATTTTATCAAAACAATTAACGGCTAATTTACTCAACTCTTGACAAGACATCTCTCGCTGTCAC